TATCTATATTTTATTTCTCCTTCCTTAGTTTGTAAGTAGGTTAAGTTTAGCTATAAGTCGTGTGTCGGTTGCCACAATAGAGGCTTGTTTGTGTAGAAGATTATTGTATGTATACGAACCCAATAGTCTGTAAGTTGGAATCATTTTAAAGAACCTGTGTTTGATGAATAAAAAAAAATTTTGTATTTTTACTAGTGTTGTAACGAATAGTATATTCGGCCTCAGGCCGAATACCGAATATTTGGCCAAGAGCGTGGCCGAATAGCCGAATATTCGGCCAAACTATTCGGCTCGATTAACGCACGTACGAAAATTGGCACGCAAGCCGCATTATGGCAAGGATCCTGCTCTCCATTGGCCCGCTGTCACTACGCTTCGCCAATCGCGTTAATTCTTGGCAGTTGTAGCGGACAGACAACAGTGTCATGGAAGTATGTGATAAATGATGATATCAAATGTGGATAACAATGAAATGACCTACACGTGTAAATAACGGAACAAAAACAGAGAAGGACCGCGAAGTGAAAATGTGAAAATAAATATGTAATTAAGTCGATAACATAATGGAACAAGTCGAGGCAGCTTATTGGCACGAAATTTGCGGCCGTCAATGCCAAACAATTGTTGTCATAGACTTCGGAAAGCTAAATTCTTGTAATGAAAGTCACTTGCGTGCAAGGGCGAAAGCCTGGGGCCGTTCGGGCTATCAAGCTGTCTCGAATCTGTGAAATCATAACTGTGACTTATATCGACGTCCTATCTGTCTCTTTTCTCCGTTATCACCAGGCTGAGTCACGTAATTGTAAAATGGGAACTCTACGACGGAAAAGTGACGAATCGAAAGTATCGTGAGCGCGTATTATGATGTATGCACAGGCATACGTGGACTAGAACGATAGAGGAAAGAGAAAGGGAAGAGCAAAGACGAGCGCTTAAAAAGAAGGATAGGCAGGATCAGACCCTCAGATGTGCGAGGATTCTCCAACGATAGACGTGTACGTGTGCTGATCTTTGTAATTATGGATTGTGAATACATGTGACTAATATTATTTTCTTTTTTATTTTGTGAATGTTATAAGTTATAAATAAATATAAACAAACAACACTAACTCGATAACATTAAATCTAAATACCAAAACGATTAATTTACTGTGTTTTTGTTATTTATTACTCCTGTTTTTAGGTATTCGGCCGAATAGTGATTTAATATTCGGTATTCGGCCGAATAGTGAAAAATAGGCCGAATAGGCTGAATACCGAATAGTAACCAAATATTCGTTACAATACTAATTTTTACTCGTTTTATATGTTTCCTGTCTGCAATAATATATTGCCCTCAAACGAAACTTCACAATATAAAAGACTGTTTTTCTAAGTAATCTAGAATCTGGCTGCAAGGACCCGCTTCGCCGGGCAAAAAGTAACGATAGTGAATATTAAGATAATTACATTATAGCCAGTCTTACCCGTTTTCACAGAATGCAAGAATTAGGTCCCCCGTTTTCATTCTAATTGGAGAATTTTTACGTCCAGTCAAACGAACTATTTTCAATTTGATCAATTTTCTGGAACGTTTACAATCGTTCTATAATCGGACCAATTCGAATACGAATTCCAATATTGTTCGAATTTAATTCGAACAATAATTGGAATTCGTATTCGAAATTAGAAATAGAAAACAACTTTCAACCACTTTCAGCCCCATCTCTCCCGCAGCCTTATAGCTATCGAGACGCAACCACCATGGTGCACGAATGGAGACTTGGGACTACCATTACATACAAACAGCATTCATGTGCGATGTGTAGTTTTTGCGGAAAAGTGAAATATAGGGACACACGTCCATTTATATATATAGATATAGATATGGATATCGTCGAAGTGACTTCTAACTCCAGGACACTTTCTCATAAGAAGACTTCTGATTAGCCTACCTGAACCAGATATCACCAGTAAACTAGACAATTATTTGTCTCAATGGCAAATATTAACAAAATTTATTTAAGCTATATAGCGTAAGTGGAAAGTGGACTACTTAAACAATTTACAGATCCGACATAAGTGGCAATTTGAGAAAGACAATATAACACCAAACTCAATGGTCCTCTTAATTAATTAAAGGATGAAAATCTCCCATTCGGTTGTTGGTCGACAGGCCGAGTACAAGAAGTGATCAAAGGATCTGACGGGAAGGTGAGAATGGTTCTGATAAAAACCCCTCGAGGTGTTTTTAAGAGAAGCATAACCAAATTGTGCCTGTTACCATTTATCTAAAGAGAAAATGTGGTTCATCTTGGTAACCTACACGTGCCATTTCTGTTGTAATTGTTAAATTTAAATTTATGTTTAGAATTGTTTATTAAGATAACACATTTGTTCAACTCTACTGCAGTCGAGCAAAAAATAATAATATTTTGCCTCTTTCACTCTACGAATCACTTCACCGGTAACTGATTTTGACATCAATGTGATCAATTCATTTTGAATATCGTGGCTTAGATAATGGTGTGCAAGTTCTTTGTCACTAATGCGTTTCCTGTGTTCCCATAACGTAGGATCAAATTTGGATATCAATTTAAATAAGTCTATTAAGTTACCAGAATTCCTAGTGCCGTCGTCTGTCTTGAGAGATTCTCCGTGACCTCTTAATGCCAGATTATGAGAGGATAAGAAATTAATGACATCAATTAATCTCTCAAACAAATTGTGCTAATGTTTTTGAGATTCACGAATTAGCCTTTCGTCTTCTTGGTCTCTTATGTCAATATATTTATCGTTTTATGACGAGTAAAATTTTTTCGTTGTGTTCACAGCTTTTTTAAGTAATGCATAAACCTTCGAGGCGCGAGGCCCCTCGGACCGCGAGGCCGTAGGCGGTGGCCCACGTCGCCCACGCCTTACGCCGCCTCTGA